AAAAAATAAATAAATAAATAAATAAATAAATACCTAATAGGTATTGCTAGGTTGTAGAGTGGTTCTATATTTAACTTTTTGAGGAACCTCCATACTATTTCCAGGGTGGCTGCACAAGTTTGCATTCCCACCAACAGTGCAAGAGGGTTCCCCTTTCTCCACATCCTCGCCAACATCTGTTGTGGCCTGTGTTGTTAATTTTAGCCATTCTGACAGGTGTGAGATGGTATCTCATTGTGGTTTTGATTTGTATTACACAAGTTTTTTTTTAAAAAACCTTTCTTACGTGGATGAATAAAGCAGAATTCTTATTGAGTAGCCAAAATAAAATGCACACATTATTTGGATTTGGATGCTAAAGCTAAATGAGACTCATTTATAACTCCACTTTCAAATATTTGTGTTCATTAGTATAGCCTCGTTGTTCTCACTGGCTGACTATATAATAAATAAATATTATAAATTTGAACCTCTAAAATTTATACTGATCAAATGCTTTCTGTTTTATATATTGTCTTGGTTTGTTTAAGATTTAATTGGAAAAAAATTTTTTACTAAATAAAATTAAAGTCATCAATATAAGCAGATGAATATCTATATTTAAATAAGGTGCGCCTTAGTTGTACACATTGTATCCACACTTGGTTTTTATCCAGCCTAAGTCTTGATGTTTATCAAAACTGATTTCAATGGAGATTGCTTGTAGGCTGTGGCTGTTAGGTGGGGTCATCAGCCTCCACTATTATATAATTAGAACACATTGTCCCTTAATCAGACACTTGTTTGCAGACCGAATTACCGTGGATTCTTAGGTAGGGAAGATTTTGAATTCTCATACTCTAAGGTTTCCTTTGCCCTTTTTTGTTTTGTTTTTTTGGGGGCAGTGTAGGATTCAGAAACATAAGAGTGAAGTAAAATAAAAAGATGTTTTATAATATACAGGTTTACTCCATGTTTCTCAGTTGTATTTTATTTAAGATGTTTTAGAGGTATAGTTACTTTTTTGTTTGTTTTCCAAATTCTATAGACTGTGTTTGAGTTTCATATCTATTTGAATTCTCATTAATTTTGTGGCTAATCAAACTCCCAAGATGTCATTTGCTTAAAGTTAACTATTTGTGAGTTGAATATAGTTAATAACTTTAGATTCTCTTCTGGTGCAAGTATTCAGTTTACCAGTGTCTTCTCTGATGGTATTCTACTATAAGGCAGTATAGAACAGCTGAATCTAATATTGTTTCCAGTGTTTTATAAATATCATAAGACCTTTATAAATATAATGTATTTTGTGACAGTTTAAGAGATTGGACTACAGTGACATTTATTAATAAACTAAAAATCAGTCCTTAAGAAAATGTGAGATAATACTTTTATTTATTTAGTCAATTTATTTTGAATGGAGTTCCCACTTTTTGAGTGAGAATTTTTTTATTTTCTAAGTAGTTTTATTTAAGAGACTTTTGGTCACACATGGAGACTAGAATATGTTTATTTCTTCCTCATTCCTAAATCCAGTAGAATGATGGTAAAATTAATAAGGGCATAATGAAGAAAATGAAAGAGGCAACATAATATCTGACTAGAGAAGTGAGGTTTTAGAAATGTTAGAAAGCAGATGGATAAATTATCACCATTTAGCAGAGCTGAGCAGTTTTGATTGAACATAATAGTGGTCAGAAGATTGAACTGTAGCATCCCCCTGAACGTTGAGTCATATATATCATTTTTAGTGTCTGTATAATGAATTATCATATTTTATGTAACCATTCTCCCATTAATGAACATTGAAGTTCTTCAGCTCTTCAGTGTTGTAAATAGCATTCCATGCATTTATTCTTCGAAAAATATTTTAGATTTCCTTTTTAAAATTGTTTCCCCAAAATTGCTGAGTCAAAGTTTATGTCCTATGGATATTGCCCCCTTCTGCCAGATTGCTTCCCAAAGGCCATTCTCACCATCACCATGAATGTGGAATCTCTGGTGTCACCACGTCCTAACTACCATTACGTTTACCTTAAGGTGGGTGTCAGGGGAGGAGTGGGTGGTCTTGCAGTAGATTTATTGACTGTTGTGCTGGGAGAGACATGAATAACAAGTGTACAGATGACTAGGTAAAGTTTACCTGGCTACCTTTACCATTGTTGACTTATGATAACGACAGGTGCTATGAGTTTAGAGGAAGAGGAGATTTCCTTTATTTGAGATTTTCAGGGGAGACTTGAAGTAGGAAGTAGAAATTGAGCTACATCTAAGATGGCAAAGATTTGAAGAGAAAAATTTGGATAGACAACGAAAGATATGTCAGTCTAGATCCATTCAGGAGACAGAAACCACACAGTAACTTAAATAGTTAAGAAATTACTAATCTGGGGCGCCTGGGTGGCTCAGTTGGTTAAGC